CACTATCATTTGACTTTGGTCCCTTAGACATATGTACCCTAACCAAGGTTCTTTTGACCTCCGTCGCTCAACTACGGTTCTTTTGACCTTCATCGCCTAACTACAATCCTTCTGATTGGTCCTTGTGACTACCATCGCTTGACTACTAACCCTCTGACCAATGTTACTTGTAGACTACAATCCCTTTGACTTGCGTAGCTCGACAACGGTTCCTTCAACCTTAGTCATTCATGTACATTCCCTCTGACCTACATCGCCTGACTACAGTCTCTTCAACCATAGTCACATGTCGAATATGTTAACTATGTCATTCTTTACTCACTGACCACAGTCCTTGTTACCTTCATTGCTTGTCGACCATAATACTTGTGACCCACATCACTTATATATGGTCCTCAGACCGCCATCACTAGATTATGGTCTCTCCAACTTTGGTTGCCCGTCAACGGTCCCTATGACCACAATCACTAACTACGATCTCGCCCACCTCTTTGCCCTAATATAATCCCTTCGGCCATGGTTCCTAATAACAGTCTCTATGATCATCATTGACAAACTATAGTTTGTCAAACCTTCGTTGCTCAACTATTGCCCCTTTGACTTCAGTCGCCCGGCTACAATCCCTCTAACCACCGTCACCTGACTCCCTCCGACCAATGTTACCTGACTCCCTCCGACCTTTGCATCCTAATAACGATCTCTCTAACCTCCGTCACCCAACTATAATCACTCTAACATCCATTTCCAAACTACGGTCCCTCGAACCTCCATCGTCCGCCTACTACAGTTCCTCCGACCTTCGTCACTTGCTGACTATGGTTCTTTCGATCTCCTTGTGACTATGGTCGCTCTAGCACTAACCGACTATGGTCTCTCCGCAGATTACGACCCCTTCGACCTTCGTCTCCCACCGACTACGATCCCTCTGACCTCTGTCGCTCGTCAACTATGGTCCCTCTGACCTTTATCGTCCGCCAACAATAGTCCCTGCGACCTTTGTCACCCACCGACTATAGTCCTTGGACCATCGTCACCCAAATATGGTCCTTCCGACCTCAGTCACTTGATTGTGGTTCCTCTAACCATCGTCAACGGACTACAATTCCTCTAACCTCTATCGCCTTAATATAGTCCCTCCGACCTTCGTCGCATGATTGCAATCTCTCTGACCATTGTCACCTGATTATAGTCCATTCGACCTGCATCACCCGATGACGACTTCTCCAAACTCTATAGCCCGATTATGATCCCTTCAACCACCGTTGCCTTCCTATGGTCATTCCGACGAAATAAACATGCCAACATTATCTAAAGAATGACTCTCATAACATTGGATTCTTCAGACTCTGACCTAATAATATGCTCTACATGATGTATATTTGCAGCATTATGCAATTGCATTCTCCTGAGGACTCCTGAGGAAAGGCATCATTTTTAATCAACGACAAATACTAGTACAATTCTTTTAACTAGGCTAGACCCCTTGGGTTTTCCTCTTTTCAGAGTTTTCCATGTAAAAATTTGATGTCTTTTATGTCTTTTGCACCCCTCTCTCTTTTCTGTGTGTATCCTGGATCTTTGTACAAAGCTAGAACGCTAAACATTCTGTCTCTCTACTGTCGTGAATGTTTCGACACACAATAATAGTGTCAAATAAACACAATGTATTTGAAATATTTATAATTATTTGGATGAGTGTAATAATAACTGCAAGTGAATATTTTTTTTATTTGACTTGGAAATAAAATATATATAGTGTAAAGCCCAATGATAACTATGGCCATGAGTAGACTGAAGGCATCATATGATGGCCTACTGTAATGGGTGATGATGATGGCAGTGATGACCAGTGGTGACCAGTGATGATGGCAGCGGTGACCAATGATGGTGGCGACTAGTGACAATGATAAATAATTTATGATGAATTTGAAATTGAAATCATCCAAATATATTGATTTTCAAATACACCAAAATTTCACTATAAGGTAAATCCCAAATACTTTAAACTTTTACTTCATATTTCTTTTATTTCAAACCGAACACCGATATTTTTAAAACGGTTACATTTGAAATACTTTACACCCCTTCTACTTCAAACCAATAAACATACACGAGAAAAAAAGGGTATAATAAGGAATGTTTAATTACTTAAAAATTCAAAATAATAATAAAAAAAAATTATAAAACTACTTACTTGATTGCATTAAATTGAAATTATCATTAATTTAAAAATTAACAGCTTATTTTAAACCTCCTCAAATGTAGTTTTTTATAAATAAAATGAAGATGACCAAAATTTTTATTTTAAAACAAATTTACTATGGAAATTACAAAATAAGCATCCCCGTAATATTAATTAAGTTTGGAGGTTAAGATTTTGATGATAATTAGGTCTGGCTACTAATATTCTGATTTTGCTCAAGAAAACATGTGAATCCAACCCACATTATTAGGAACCACACACTGATGAAAGACAAGAAGTAATAAATAATATTGAATTGGACCACCAATTATCAGCTAATTATAACTTCCTATAAAGGCTTAGCTAAAACTGCCCCCACCATCAAAGTTTCATTTGGAATAACTTTCTTATTGCTTCTTAAAACAGTAAAAAAGAAATCTCAAATGAAGCCTAAGGCTTCGTTTGGGATGGCTTTTTTACTGCTTTCTAAAACGGAGTTTTAGTACAAAATTTTTTATTTTTGTACTAAAACTTTGTTTTAAAAAGCAATAAAAAAGCCGTCCCAAACGAAGCCTAAGTCAATAAGACTTTGACTTCTTTTAGAAAGGCTTTTTTATTGCTTCTTAAAGTAGCTACTTAGTAAAAAAAATTTTGTACTAAGAATTGCTTTAAGAAACAGAAATAAAGCCGTCCCCAAACGAAGCCTTTATTTGAGACAGCTTTCTTACTATTTTCAATACAACTTTTTAGTTAAAACAAATTTAATAAAAAAAAAAAAAACTAAAAAATTTCCCACTCAAAGCCAATAGCATTTGACAATTTTGATTAACTTATATTAGGATGCGTGAGAGTTTATATTTGCTATATAGGGTAATTAAATCAAAATGAGAAAAAAAGCTCATATAGCATGGCCCAATATTTAATTATTTATCCAAAGGAGCTCATAAAATTTGGATGGGACAATTTTATAATATTTTAATTATATAAAATCATGAGATTTTAAAATTGGTACATCGTTAGAAAATTTATTTGGACAATATAATATTGAGATAATATTTAAATTAAAGATTTTTGAAATTAAATTTAGAGCCATCACACCTTCGCTTTCAACAAATTTATTGTCAAATTGATTGTGTTGATTAGATGAACCTATCGAAAGTAGAAGCGATCCTATCAGAGTTCGAAAATCCAAATCAAGCACTTAAAGACGACATCATTGAACTTCAACTATTTGTCTATGCAAATTCGAGTTCTTCAATACTTACAACATGAATCAAATAGTTATTTTCAATAAACTAATCTTGTATTCTTCTATAGTGAAGATGAACTAGTTCTTGTATGTAGAATTATACAGTGGATTATTGTAATTAGGTCAAGCCTAGCGATTTTTTCATTTTTAGTTTTAGTTTTAGTTTTTTTTTAAGATTTTTATTGTTGCTATATAACCTTCGATCAAAGAGCAATTGGAGTCGGCCTCTCTTGCATTGTTTGAACATCTGATTTGATCATAACCATCCATCATACTATTTGGCATAGAAAGATTAGTATTTTGTTTGGTGTTGGAGAGTTTGGACTTTATAGACACACACATTTACATAGAAATTAATATTAAATTATAAATATTATAATTATTTTCTCATATTGTTCAGATTTCATATACAAGCTTAATCGAAGCTTGTTTTTGTAAAAAAAATTTATGAGGCTTCTCTAGATTTGATCATAACCATCCATCATACTATTTGGAATAGAAAGATTAGTATTTTGTTTGATGTTGGAGAGTTTGGACTTTATAGACACACACACATTTACATAGAAATTAATATTAAATAATAAATATTATAATTATTTTCTCATATTGTTCAGATTTCATAGACAAGCTTAATTGAAGCTTGTTTTTTAAAAAAAAATTATGAGACTTCTCTTAGGTTGTATTGTTGTAAAGTTATTAGAAATATTTTTATGAGGCTTCTCTTAGTTATTGTTGTAAAGTCCCGTAACAATCGGTGGCCGAGTAGAAATTCGGCTTCAGTTTGCTATTGGGTTAAAGTCTGACAATAGTTGGTTGTTGGGCAGAAGTATTGCAATAGTTTGACGAAAGTTGGTGGTTCAATGGTGGTCAAGGAATCTTGTGGCAAAATAACTCTAGTTTCTCTCTCTTTATTATCTTCCTTGTTTGGGCTCTTCTTAATGAAGAATGATGGGCATATTTATAATTTTTTGTGAGTGATATGACAAGTAAATAGGAGAGAGGTCAAGGATATGTTGAGAGTGGTTTGAATGAATGACCGATATTGACCCCCTCAAGTGGATCATTTATTAGAAATTTGAATATCTTAATTATATCAGATTTTAACAATTTGGGCTCGTTGTATTCATCTCATGGAGCTGCTCGATTCAATTAAACAAATAATTTTCTATTAAAATATTTGAAAAAAAATTAAATTAAATACTTTTTAATTATCAAATTGAAATCCTAATATTCTAATCCTATTTGTTTGTCGAATCAATTCTTGAAATCCGCCCAATGGGCGAACTGGATAAGGTCTAAAAAGTCATTCTACCATATCATGTTAATTTAACTAAACCCTAATTTTTAATACTTATATAATATTCTAATTTTAAATTATTATTAAAAATATTAACTTATTTAAAATAAAATATTTTTTATTAATAAAAATTTTAAATATTAGATAAATAAATATATAAAAATTAATGATATGTGTAAATCTCATATTGAAAAAAAAGTTTTTATTGTTTGATTGGAACTAACTTTAAATTCATATTATTCATAATAAAAATTAATGAGGATATTAACTTATTTAGATCAAAATAAGAGATCTACTATTTCAAAAGGATAGGAGATTAAACACCTAATTACACCATTAATTCCACAAAACTACTGGCTAAGCATCTAATAAAACCAAGTTAATATCACACCCCCAATCTAAACCATAATCTATACCACCTTTTACCAATCCTTATACCGTAAATTTCGCATTTGTTGGTGGGCATTTTTGTCACAGAATTAAGCCACGCGAAACGCCGCTGTATTTCCCGAGAAGCGTCGTTTCGTACACCGGCAGCTCGTCGCGAAACCGTCCTATAACAGCTAGATTCTTCAGCTCGAACAGATCGTCCTCCTCGTCTTCCTCTTCCTGCACCTTGGATCTTCTCACTGGCGGAGGCGGAGGCGCCGCTGGCGGTTTCGGGGCGTCGCCTCCGTACACCCATTTCTCGCCGCAGGGCCGGCAATCCTCTCCGACAATCACGCTCACAGGGCAGAACCTCACTGTCCTCTTCGCCGTCGAAGGCGTCTTGCTCAAACACGATCGTGAGTACGAAGGTTCCGTCGGGCACGGTAATTCGGCAGAGACCTTTGATTTGGCGGCGAAGAGCGAGCCGAGGAAATTGGCGAGGCGAGCTCCGGGGGAGGATGGAGATCGTCCATTCCTCAGATCGCGCAAGCAGTTTCGGATCGAGCCATTGCGCTCTTTCTTCGACCTTTTGTCGTTGATTGTCGCGGAGATAAATTGATCCGGGGCGTCTTCCGGCCGGAGGCGGCCCGATCGAACCGTGAGGTTCGTACGAATCGGTCGGAGGCGTGCCGGGCAAAGATTGGAGACCGATTCAGTGTCGGAGGAAGAGAAGCCGCCGTAGCTGGAGCCATCGGACGAGCTCGAGGTGGCGTTGCGGCCGGGGCAGGTTACCGTCGGGGTTTTCACCGAAGGGATGATTCTTCTGCTCTCGGGGAAGCAAGCCATGTTCTGCTTTTTGGCAGAGATGCGGTCTGGTGCTCCGCTTAGCCATTGTTGCTCCTTCGTTGCTCCGCGGTTATCCGTCTCATCGATGGAACGGTAAATGGAGTCGAGGAGAGTGGAGGAGAAGGAGGGGCAATCGCGACACCGCCTTGGAGCTTGTCTATCGATCCCATTTCGCCATCTCTCCATTCCTCTGCAAATGAGTATCTTATCGTCCTGACTTTTTTTCTCTTACAGGAAGAACAAGAAGAAGGGCTTAAAGGGAAAGCAAAGAGCGCGGCGGCATTATAGAGGGAGCCATGGAGGGGATTGCCGTCCCTTTTGAGCCTTTCACGCGCGGGTCGGGTACGCCTACGTGGCAGCTCCCTCTGCTTTAGCAGCGGGCCCACGCCGATCTTCTCCGTCCGATCCTGTTCGGTGAATGGACGGATGAGGCCCCCTCGGATACAGATACCTCACGGTAAGCTCATTCTCCTGCATTTACATTCTGCATTTATTCTCTCTCCCTCTGAGCGAATTTAATCAAAATCTCAATCCCCTAATGTCTAATTGAATGTCTAAGCTCCGGCGAACTAAAATTGGCTGCTTTGCCTATATTTTATTAGTCTAACATTTTATTAGTCTAACGTAAGAAGCAAAATAGGGAGGGAGGAGGGAGGAGATAGGAGGGAAAAATTATTCTGTCCGGTACAGTGTATCGAGTGGTACCGAGTGTATCGCTGTCGGTACCAAGCTCGATATTGAGCTCAGTACTGAGGGCCTAATGATGTGACGCTTTTTTATTGGTCTCTGGACACATTCGGTGTCCGGACACAATAATCTGTCGGTGTCCGGGAGAGTAATGAGTAATAACTAATGAAAATATTCTGTTCTCAAACATTTTCCTCATATACTTTGTTTTAACTCATAAAAGCATTTGTTGATCTATGTCTGGTTATGAGGTAATTGTAGAGGAGGCAGGAAGAAAAGCAGCCAGTCCTCGTGGATTCCATTTCTGGTTTTATTCCCTTTCTATTTTTCATTTTCATTTTTGAAGAGGACAAGGGGGAAGCTTGCTTTCTCTTTGTATGCTCGACTTCTTATCCAAGCAAGGCACATATTGCTTTCTTCTATGTTTTTTTTTTTTTTAATTTGAATGTTAAAGATATATATATAAGATATTTGATCCTAAAATTTTAGTAATAATTAATTTCCAAGCTCTTTAATCAGACTTAACAACTAAGTTAGTTGGCTCACATCTTCCTTAATGTGAGATTGCATAACAAATGGGCTTTAGAGTTATTATATTTATTACATTTATTCGTTTATCCTTAAGATATTTTTAATTACTTCTCAATTTAATTTAAATTTGTTGATAAGAAGATGTTAGCATAGCTCATGTTGGTCTGTTGGTTGGGAGTTTAGGCTGCCAACTAAGAAGTCTTATATTCGAGTCTTGTGTATGTCATATGTGTGCGAGTTTGTCTTAATTGGCCTAAATGTCCCCCACACACACCCCACAAAAAAAAATGTTAGCATATTCCTTAGATATTTGTATCAAACTATGGTGTCATTTAGGATAATAGCAGAGTTGATATAGGCCCAAAATCATGCAATTTGGGCTTTCAAAGATCTATGCTAGATCATCAGTTTCATATAGGTGGCTTTGATATCAATATTATAGATGGTATGAAGTGTTCCATTAAATTGAACACAATAGGAAAATTGTTCATTACCAGCGGATATGTCGAATTATCGACGATTTCTAAAGTTGTTTCCAGCGATCATGTACCGTCGTATTTTCTGACGGTTAGACCACCGGTATAACTGCCACTTACCACCGATTTAACTATTGGAATACCATCGGTATTGAGTGATTTATTTATTTTTTTTTTGTAGTGGAAGTTAATGTTTGATTTTATGAATTTGATGATGGGATTTTTATGCATCTTGAACTGATTCAACAGTCAAAATTTAGAAGTATCATTGCATAGTCCTATCCCCATTACATAGAGATTGCGAATATGTGAATCTTAGTGCTTTTTAGAGTAAAAAATCTTCCTTATTTTATATTTAGCTTTAAATTAGGGTATGGGATTATTGTAATTTGTTTATTAGATTCTATGGCTAGACAAATGGCCACATGGGGTATGCTATGTAGGCTAGCTTATTCTTGTTGGCTATGCTTAAGAAAAAGGTTTTTTAAGCAGATAGCCTAATCATTTGCCCTCGTGCACCCTTTTAGGCCTTCCAAGAATAAATTGGTCCCTTTTTTTAACAAAATTCTGACCGCTATTTCAGGATGTGAATTTATAGGCCCCTATATGTGCCAAATTTTTATATAGGTGTGGTTGGTTCATCTCAATCATTTAGTTTATTTTATTTGATCACGATTGAAACAAACTATTATTATCATAGCTATTCAAATTTTAATTATTTCAAATACCGTGATTGAAAGTGGATTATATGATTAAGACAAGTCAACCACAGCTCTATAATTATCGTTTTAAGTACTTAGTGTTAGAAGGTCGGCAATCTCTGTGCATATATTTTTACGATTTTATGCGTATTAGACTGCATTAATGGCATGTTCTCTTTAATTAGTAGTGGTTAGAGACGGAAATTAAGCTAATAAGAAGTTTAAAAACACAATTAACTTGTAATATATTCTATTGCACTTGGGCTTCGTTTTGGACGAATTTTTATTGCTTCTTATAGCATCTTTTAGTACAAAAATTTTAATTTGTATACCAAGGCTTCGTTTGGGATGACTTTTTTACTGCTTCTTAAAGCAGCATTTTAGTACAAAATTTTTAATTTTTGTACTAGAAAGTTGCTTTAAGAAGCACGAAGAAAACTGCCCCAAACGAAGCCTAAAAGTTGTCTTAAGAATCTGTAAGAAAGCAGATCCAAACGAAGCCTTAATTAGCATTACCAATATAAGGTGAAACTAAAGTGGCAAATGCAAATTGGCATTTATACCCTCTTCTTTGGTTTTGACAAAGTTTCCATGCAAAGAATTACAAAAAATAAGGCTTGTTTTGAGAAATTTTTTTACTATTTCATAAAGCAGTTTTTCAGTATAAAAATTTATGATTCAAAAATATTTTATACTAAAGAGTAGTTTCATGAAGTAGGAAGAAAGTTGTTCGAAATGAAAGCTAAGAGTTTGTTTGTGATAGTTTTTTTACTGTTTTATATTTTAAACTGTAATTACAATTTTTATTTGATACTATATTTTTGCTATTTTCAAAAAAATAATGCTAGAAAATTTATTTTTATGCCATCTTTTAAAAAAATTACTTTTCTCATAATAGTTTACAACCATCTTTATAAAAAAATTATATTCATCCTAAAGAGATAGTAAGCCTTTACTCTTCTTTATTAAACCATGTGTAGCTGATTTATGTTATGTCAAATGTTATTATCTCTTGATTTAGTACATATTATGTTGGTATTATGCAGGGAAGAAGTACAATGGAAAAAAAAACTTTTGGCGTAAAAATGGAGTTTTTTACATTACTGTGACATTTTTTATGAAAAAAATTGGGTCAGGGTACTCTTCATTTTAATTAGGATGGATTTAAAAAGTTTATTTATGATATTCCTATGATATTTAAATGAAATAGAATAGTCTTATTTTTATTTGTAGACATTAAAAAAAATAAAAATATTTGTTAGAAAAATGAATGATAAATTAATAAAATATTAATATATTTATATAACAGTAGAAGAAATATCCTAATGAAAATATAAAATCAAGACGGGTCATTTTCTTAAGATAATCATGATTAAAATTAAGTTAGAATATACTAATCTATTTTCCCCAAAAAATTTTGATTTAAAAAAAATAATAAATATATATATATATATAATCTAATTTTTTTACATGTGTAGAAGTTATGCTCTCTCTCGCTTTAGGGTGATTATTGTGTGCGGATACCAGACAGGAGAACTGTCCGGGTGCTTGGAATCAAGCGTGGAACATTTGAAACTAGAGAGATATGGTTTGAATCAATGGGTACTAACTAAAACATCAATTGAAATCTCACTTATAAGGTTGATATTCATTAGTTTAGTTGATAAAAATATTGAAATTTATTATTAAATTTTTTTATTTTAATTTTGTTTTATTAAATATGTACTTCAACAATTAAATTAAAAAAAAATCATAGTTAATTAAATCAATTGAAATTATAATTTATAATTTTCAATTTCGAAATGAATATCAAAACGAAATTGGTGTTCTAAATTAGGGGCATACGTGATGTCTTAGAATATAATTCGAAAGAATTATTTTTTTATTTTAATAAATAAAAATCTGAGCAGTCTAATTTTCTTTTATCAATATAAATATCAGTGGAAATAAAACAATCGATCAAATATCAATAATATATATATAATATAAACCTAAAATCATGTACACTATTCAAGTTCTATACAATCATGGCATATCTATATTATCCTTAGTATAAAAGAATGTAACAAGAGTATGAACTTAAGGATTCTGATCAAGCAATTTATTATAAGCAATTATTATAATAAATTGATTAAAAATATTGAGAAATTAGAAGAAAAATTATAAAAATTCACTTAATATAAAAAGTGAAATATAATTTTTAAATGATTTTAATAAATTTATACTCAAAATCTTGAATGCTACTATATTTTAGGTACATATGACCTAATATTTTTAAATGAGCTTGGGCGACAGCTAACGTGTCGAGTTATTATTTGCTCAAAGTTGACTGGTTAGCTCTTCGAGCTCAACTCTTGAGTTACTTATCTAGTAAAGCCCGAGCCAGCTCATAATCTACTTATCTAGTAAAGCCCGAGCCAGCTCATAGTCGACCTGACTAACTTACGCCGCTACTCCTAATTAATCTGTTTTCAGGTTTGATTAAGAAATATGAACCATTAAGCCTCATCGCAAAAACAGGGAATATATGTGAAGCACCCCCTCCATTTTCTTTATTCATTTTCCTTTCTTTTTGTTCTCTCTTTAAACAAAGAATGCAGCTTTAGAACTAGAGAGAGAGAGAAGGCAGTGGAGATTTGGCAGAGTGATCGGCGATCCCGATAAAAGAGAGGTGAATGTGTTGGAGAACGGAAAAGACATAGCTTTCATCACTTCATATGTTCTTTTTCCTCCTCTTTGCTCGCCTACTCACACTCCCTTTGCTTTTCTTTTGATTCTAAATAAAAATGTTAAAAATATTTGTATATAATAATTTTAAAATTATTGAATTTATTTTAATATGAATAAATTATATATTCATGTATTATATTTAATCTTAAATAAATTTATGAAATTTAGAATTCATATTAATTTAAACTTAGGAGAGGTTATACATACCAAAACATGCTTATTTATCTAACAGCTAAATATTTATATATATTTGTATATATAATACTCAAAACATTAAATTATATTAAAATAGCATTACTATTATTATTTAAAAGAAAATATATTTTTCATATATATAGAATTTTATTATGATTTAGATAAATAATTAATTGATAAAAATAGGCGAACCCATGATCAAGGGTGGCCAAATGCCTCCCTAAAAAAAATCATTCATCAGAGAGGGTTTTTTTGGAATTTATTATTCGTGAGCCAGTTTTGGCCGTCCCGCCTCCCATTATTTGCAAAATCGCAGTCAAAGGCTCGAAGCGCTTTCGTTCCATCATTCAAAACTGCAAGATAAGGTCGCCTTCGCAATCACAAGAGGTTGGCGGCCTTCGCCTTTGCAAATAGAAAGAGTTTGCCCACTCTAAAAAAATGGTCTGAATCTGCCCCTGGTAATATAAATAGATATAATGATTTAGATATTATGCATGTAAATTTTCTTTTATTTTTGTGTGTGTGTGGGGCTAAAACACTAAAATTAAGTGTTTTAATTAGGGTGGATGAGAGAGAGAGAGGGGGGGCATGGATGCACGTTAAAGCATGGATCAAAGGAGTGAGAAAAGAGTGGCACGCGTGACACAGCACGTGCACTGCATGCCCCAACGAATCATGCAAGGCTTTTAGATGAAAAATATGATCGATCATGAGTTTCTCTCTCTATTTCTAAAACTTTTTATTGCAAGTGTTGGGTTCAATATTATTATATAGTTAATGAAGTGCATGCCTTGGCCTGTACTGTACCTCGATCGCTTTCTCTTTTTTTCTAATGCTTTTGTGTCTTTATTTGTTGTTCAAAGTAGATGATCGAAGCAATTAAGGCAGGGTGGGGGGAATCCCGTGAGATGCTTTATGAGTCTCTTTCTCATTGATCCCTCTTCTCTTTTTGTTTCTTCTACTTCTCTCTCTCTCTCTCCTTTGGCCAGGTCTCCACCTGCTTTAAATACCATTAAATGATTAATCCTGCCTCTCTCTCTCTCTCTTCCGCTCTCAAGGTTTTTGCTTTGGGTTCACATTAATTTGGTTTAGGTGTTATTATGTGCTTCTTTTTTCAACCTATATTTGTGGTAGGAAGTCCATTTTTTTTGTCAATTAAGACATTCATATTCATATTACGAACATAAACTTCGAATTCAAAACCTTTTAATTGATAGTCATTAGCCACAGTTCTCAACAACGGATTAAGATTTCGTTTCGGATGGCTTTTTATTGTCTTTTCAAAGTAGTTTTCTAGTACAAAATTTATAATTCTAAACTTTTTTTGTGCTAAAAAGCTATTTTAGAAAGCAATAAGAAAATTGTCCTAAATGAAGTCTAAGATGAACCAGAATACAATATTGTTGTGTGGGCTTTTTTGTGGCTTTGTAACCAGAAAAGCAACTACTGAATTTTAATGATGCATTTAGGTATTTGTCATTGGTTAACGCAACAAAAAGAAAAGACTAAAAACTACTTTCAAAATATGTTTTAGAGGGCAGAAAATTTTGCCATCCAATGGCAGCACAAATAAAGAAATTGTTTACATTTTTTTTGGACAATTAGGTCAATTAAGGCAAACTCATATGTGTCAACTTTTGACCCAACACGAAACCCGACCCGGAATAATCCGGGTTTGAGTCAACCTGTTTGCGAAACGGGTCGAGTCATGGTTCGGATTTTTGACCCGTTTGAAAAATGGGTCAGGTTTGGGTTGACCCGACAACCCGCGGGTCAACCCGAATTGGAATTGACACGTTTCGCAAACCCATTGCTCAGGTTGCGTCCCGTTAGCTCGTCATGTCACGTCCGCGTCAGGTCACGTCATCGCGAGCATCCAGCCCGGCAAGCCCGCACAACGACTTGGACTCTGCAGAGCCCGCACTGCTCCGCACTCGCGACTTGGACTATGTTGTTGCCTCTCGCAAGCGCGCTCGCAATCCTACACAACCACACTCGCGATCTCGCGCTGCTTCAGCGGTTCAGCCAAATCTGTGAAATTCGTGTCGGGTCGGGTCCGGGGTTGAAATGTCCGAACCGTTTGCAAAAACAAGTCGACTTCAGGTGGACTTGTTTAGATTCGGGTCAGCTTGGGTTCAACCCAAACCCGACGCGTCAACCCGAATTAACACCCCTCTATACACATCACATACTTAAAACTCAAACCCAAAACCTCTTAGTTGATAAACTAAGCTCCGAAGCAACATACCAAACTGAGCTGTGTAAATTTTTTACATATTACTAAGTAGGGATCTAAAATAAATATTAATTTCCATCAAATTCCTATAGGAGAAATGTCGTAGCCCTAAAAAAATACAGATACTCATCTTATAAACATTTGATTAAATTGATCAATAATTTTTTTTAATAAAAAAATACATTGATTATTTTTTAATTTTACTGTTTGTCCAACTTAAAAATATTGTGCAGATTTTTGGAAACAAGTTTTATAACATGGAAATGCTCCCTACACAGCTTCATGAATCATGATGAATCTCTCTCCCCCTTGCTAAAGCTCTCAAGCATTTGACAGTGTTTATAGGAGACAAATCATTGGCTGTTCTCTTTACCGAATCATGTAATATTACCATTCTATCCCTACATAGCAACCATTTTTATAAAGAAAAGTCTGATTCGATCGAAATTTCACACCTTTCAGCTTTATCTTTAGTCTTTTGACATGACTGAATGCCCCACATAGGACTGCAAACGAACTTGATAAGCTACTCAAAACTCGTCTCCATATAAACTTGTTCTGATAAATAATCAAATAAGTTTGAACATTTTTTTTAATACTCATTATCTTGAACAACTCTGTGTTCCGCTTGTTTATATTCATGAACAATATCGTTCGAAGTTTGTTAACATGCTCGACATGAAATTCAATAAGAAGCTCGTTAGGAGCTCAATTCTTATTTGATATGAATATTTAATAAATCTAATATAATTAATTTCTATTTATTATTATTTAAAAATATAATAATAAGTTAATATAATAATAAGTTATTCTAGAACAAATTTTCTTATAAGAAGAATTATAGCTCATTTGATAGTTTAAAAATGCATGCTAGATGTGTTCATGTACAAACTTATTTGATAGTTGAAAAACCCTTACTAGATATGTCCACGAAATAAGCTCCTTTGGTAGCTCAAAAACACTCGTTACATATGTTCGTGAACATGCTCGTTTGGTAGTTTGAAACAATCGCTATAAATGTTCACGAACATGTTTGTTAGTAGGTTCGAAAAAACTTGTTCGTGAACATGTTTGCTTAAAGCTCGATATACATGAAACAAATCGAATATAAACCAAACACAAACAAAAAATGAACATCTATCAACTTAAACGAGCAAAGCTTGAACACGAACATTAAAGCTCGAATCGAGCTTGAATAAACATGAACAAACTGGTAATAAATGACATAAACTTTAACAAGCAGATGCTTGGCTCAGATCGGCCTAGTCCTACAAATGAATTTCATGTAAACTCTCAGTTTTGATTCGTTCAATAAAAAAAGAACATAAATAAAACTAACTATAAGTTAAAATCCACAGAGAGAGAGAGAGAGCAGTGAACAAGAAAGTGCGTGGAAAATGATATTTACTTGATGAATATAAACATTATTTTTTTTTATCAATAAAACTGGCTTGGCCCAAACGGGGTCAGAAGAGCTTACACAAAAACCTCAGCTGAACTTGCTCAGATTCGCCTCCGAACACGTTCGGACAATAATTTCTTAGTAGTAGTATGATGGTGCAAAGAACACCGACCATATAAAATAATTTATTCTGATAATACAGACAGATTACGATACAGGAAATCTTGTACAAATTGGCAGTGAGAACAGATTTCACTGACGTGCATAGCAACATCCAATATGTTTTCGTAATGAAAATCAATCCAAATAATTACAAGATTTCTCAAAATGACAAAAAAGGTGACTGCAAAGTGTTAGAAATCAGAATGGTATATGCAAACCAAGCTGGAATGAGTGATGGGAGTGCGGCAGAGAGGACATTCAGGCTTCTCATTACACCATTCCATGATACAATTCCTGAAAGAATGACATTTTTTTATACGAGGAAATGGATTAATCATCTTATTTAAGCTTCGTTTGGGACAGTTTTCTTATACTTTTTGAAGCAGTTTTTTAATAAAAATTTTCTAACTCAAAAAATTTTGTATTAAAAAAATGCTTTAGCAGGGAATAAGAAAGCTGTTCCAAATGAAATCTTAAAGAACACAACAGGCGGATATATCTAGCAAACTTGACTCTAAGGTTTGGTTTGGGACTATTTATTATTACTTCTTGAAGCAACTTTTTAGTGCAAAAAATAAAATTTTATACTAAAAAGCTGCTTTAAGAAGCAATAAGAAAGTTGCCCCGAATGAACCTTCAGTATATTTAATTATTGATCTAAGCTCCTCATGCTTTGAAAGATGCCTAAAAAGAAAACTAAAAATGATAATAGACGTAATTCAAGCTGCTATGGGTGAGAGAGATACCAGCAAAAAACATGACCACAAGTAGTGGCCGTAGGATGTTGGCGAGTACTTAGGCAGAGAGTGCATTTGCTAATGCTCACCGGTACTTGAGACTGTACCAACAAATTGAAAACTTCATGAAAGCATACATCATAGGATGAATTCATAGATCCTTAATGCAATTGTTATGATGAGATACATGTAAATCATAAAAGGACCTTAGATATTCATACTTCATAGATCCTAAATCAATAAATAAGGCTTCGTTTGGAACGGTTTTCTTACTGTTTCTGAAAGCAACTTTCTATTATAAAAAATTTGTACTAGAAAACTGTTTTAAGAAGCAGTAAGAAAGTCGTCCCAAATGAAGCCTAAGTCAACAAGTTATTCTCTTTAAATGCAAATAATAACAATAGGAGAATTAAAATCCAAGCGACAATGTGAATGATCTGAGATTGAAACACATGAAATCATTGGGCAAATGTAATTTAATCGCTACAAATAGATACTTGGATATATCACATTTGAACAAAATCAGGACTAGCAAGCGCAGGCCAAAACAACAGAATTCCTGTGGCTACAAGGAAATGAATTTCCCCACAAATAAAAAAAAATCGCATTTTTACTGCACTTGAAGCAATACAACATCCAATTTACACATAAGATCGAAAATTAGAAAAGAAAACTTCAATCAGAGTTGTTCAATTACAAGCCTCAAACCATCTATTTATTGATTCCTCCTCACTAAGCTAGCTAATAGATATAATTGGCATAAAAGTAACTCAATTCAAGTTTCAATTAACAAAAATATAAAAATCAATTCACTTTTAGGTTTTGTTTAATAACAATAGGAGAATTAAAATCCAAGCGACAATGTGAATGATCTGAGATTGAAACACATGAAATCATTGGGCAAATGTAATTTAATCGCTACAAATAGGTTCTTGGATATATCACATTTGAACAAAATCAGGACTAGCAAGCGCAGGCCAAAACAACAGAATTCCTGTGGCTACAAGGAAATGAATTTCCCCACAAATAAAAAAAAATCGCATTTTTACTGCACTTGAAGCAATACAACATCCAATTAACACATAAGATCGAAAATTAGAAAAGAAAACTTCAATCAGAGTTGTTCAATTAGAAGCCTCAAACCATCTATTTATTGATTCCTCCTCATTAAGCTAAGCTAATAGATATAATTGGCATAAAAGTAACTCAATTCAAGTTTCAATTAACAAAATATAAAAATCAATTCATTTTTTTTGTTTTGGACAGCTTTTTTATTGCTTCTTAAGACATCTTTTAGTATAAAAATTTTAATTTTCGTTCTAAAAATTAGCTTTAAGAAGCAATAAAGATTCATCCCAAACGAAGCCTTAATCCCGAATCCAAAGAGACTTACTCTTCCGCTTCGTAGGTTTCAAAAATACCCTTCTTCAATTAAATCTTAAGAGCATATGTATAAGACCCCTCAAATGATCTGAACAAGTACAAGATACCCCTATAAGAAGAGAGGAAGAGTGGGGCTAGAAATTGTCATAGTTTACAACAAATGCAGCGTAAAGATGGATTTCGTAAAGCCAATCGCAAGTAATTAGGAAGTAGTTCAGCGTTTCATACATTCTTTAATTCAAAGTTGTCTATCTGTTCGAACCATCTATAGAACTAAAGATTTCAATTTGGGAGCGACAAGTAAACTACAAAGAAATGAAGATCTCATTTGGTGTTTGATGAATAATAATAAGGATCTTCGATGGGAAAAATATGACATGCATTACCTCTGTAGTCAAAGAATCAGAGCCCAGGCTACTTTTTTTAATAGCAGCATCAGTGATCAGGTTTCCATCTTCATTCAGAACAGGCAATCCTCGCCCTGTAGGTAACAAATTTGCAATAACCATCATTAAGAATTACTTCAGAACGTATTAAAGGTAATAAAAAAGTCTAGCAGCACTACAATCACTCCATGAACCAATAAGCTGTACTCCAAAAAGTTTAATGAGCCTTAGCTTGGTTAAAAGAATGTGTTTATATTGCGTCATATAGGTAGCCAAAGATATAATTCTAACTGTATGCAATCCTCATGAGAATCTGTCAACTTTCCATTCCCTGGAATGCAGGGTGTCAATTTCGGGTCACGAGTAGGGTTCGGGTTCGTGATCCGATACTATTTGGCTCAACCTGAACCCGACCCTTTTTTGCAAACGGGTCGGTTTTTACCCACTTCGAGTTCGGGTCAACCCAAATCAGGATTTTGTAGTAATTTTATTCCCTATTTTACATGTTTACCATTAGAAACTCTTTCAGAATTGTATAAATTTTGTACATGTTGGAACAAAAGATATAAAAAATAATTATCCAATTTTTGTAAGTATAGCTGAAACCTGAGAGAAAAAAACATTCTCAAATTTTACTCAATATCCATTCAATGTCTCAACTTACTTTCACCATATTACATGTGCCTAATTAGCTGCATCAAAACTCTACACTCTACAATTCTCTATTGTCCTCCACAAAAGTTTTCTGAAAAAAATTGCACAAGTTTTTCAGTCCACATAATTGGAAGAATGCAAATTTTTGAATTAAAATACTCATATCCAAGCGGCAGCATCATTAATAGCTAAAAATGGAGATTCCTGCAAGTACAAAGCCTCCATCATCCCATCTTCCATTCCAGCCTACTTAATATCCATCTTTAAAATTGACTGGAGCCACAAGCATCCTCCCAAGACCATTTACAATACTGCAAAGCCCCACTGGTTTCGACCACTCAACAGACTCTTAAATTTCTACACTAGTAGCCTTCCAGAGTTATTATTTAAATAGAATAGAAAGAGCACACCAGGACTAAGCTTCCTTCACTGCCAATTCCTTTCTCATCCTTTCCATCAATGCAGCACTATATATCTATCCCAACTAAGGCTTCGTTTGAGAGAGCTTTTTTAATGCTTCTTAAACAAATTTTGTAGTACAAAAATTAAAATCTTTGTACTAAAAAACTGCTTCAAGAAGCAGTAAGAAAGCCGTCCCAAACGAAACCTAAGTTTGCATCATTCTACAGTACAAGGTGTGCCGTCACACTCCGTCTCAAGGACTGTTAAATCATGCTTGTGGAGTGAAAGGAATGGCAATGCTGATAAGAATAGTCATTGTTATCTTTCAAATGTCCCAGGATTTTGATGATAACAGAATAGAACAAATACCAACCCAACCCAAGGAGAATATATTGGAATGCTATTCTGGAACTAAAAAGGGTCAAGTTGTTTCACAATTTCAGAGAAAATCAAGCCAAGCTAACCCAATTAGCACTCTTGAATATTTCCACAGCTAACGTGGAATATCTCCTTGCTTGGAATTTTAATTACCAAATCAAGAGACAAAAAGTGTACAGTTATCGTGATACTTTATAACAAATGCACGACCTGTAGAAGACTGATGACCTCCAAGAGAAGACGGGTGAACAGAACTAGCAATTGAAGAAAAATTGCTTCTTCGTAATCCTTCAGCAGCAAGAATACAAAGCTGGACCAAGAGGAAAATGCCTAGGATTTGATATCTGCAACGAATAGCCAATGAAATATGTATAAATACAAAATTATCAAATAATTTCAGTTAACTACAGTAAAGACGCGCATTACTACAAAAGTCATAATTACAACATAGCAGTTTTTATTAGCATTTGTTTTTTTTTTGCTTTTAAATGTCATGATTTTCTTCATGATATATCTCCTCTCAGTCAACGTGCTAATTATGAGTGCTGAAAACCAATCATGATAAATCAATGAAAATGCTCAAAGAAGGCACAAGAGCCTATTTATGGTCTCCTGATAAAAATCACAAATTTGGCTCATTGATTGAGTGTTAAAATGGATGATGGAAAGACTAAGAATGATGGATAAGAAAAGATTATAATAGAAGGGCAGAGGAATTAATAAGTATTGAAAAATAGAGAAAATGATCAAAATAATCCCTTGAGTCTTTATGAAAGAACAACATTATCTCCAACTATATCAAATGATCATTTTGGACCATCAAGTCGGTAAAAATGTCCAAAATAGTCCTATAGTGAGACTATTTTGGTTCTTCTTTAAGGAGTTTAGGGTGAGGTCCCTCAAGTTTTTAAAAGGAAATCAAAATAGTCCCATAGTGGGAACATTTTGGTCTTTCATAAAGAGTCAAGGAACAATTTTGATTCTTTTGTCATTGAAAATACTATATTAGAAAATAGAATTAGGTGGTTCGGGCGTGAATAACAAAGTGTAATCGAATAAACATAAAAGGAGCACATGAATTAGGAAGAAAATGAGTAGATTGAAGGTATCTTGAATTAAAAAAAAAAACATTTGGAACCATCATTATATAATAAGGCATCTGACTTTTAAAATCTCTTAATCTATGTTTCATTCACTTTTTATGAATATTAACATAGATGCCTTTTAAAATCTCTTAATCCATGTTTCATTCACTTTTTATGAATATTAACATTATAAATTTTCACTATGAAACTTGCGGAACTGTAAAACATTAGAGTTCTCTTTCTTGAAAAAGATTTTAGATTCTCTACTCTTTTTATATTAAATCACTAATATTCAGGGAGCCTAAATAATCTATAACATCAATGGAGCTACAAGATTCAATCATTTTTATTGATGATTGCACTCAAATGACATGGGTAAGCATGATCAAACAAAAATATAATGTCAGCCTTATCCTTCCAACTTTATTTTTATGATAAAAAATCAATTTGAAGCTCGCATTAAGAAAATTAAGCCTGATGATACTCATCACAATCTTAATTAGATATTACCTCCTTTCCTTGATAAGGAAAGTATTATTCACCAATCCTTCTATCAACGGAATTGAGAGGCATAAGAAAAAACTATCATCTTCTGAAAGTCATCAGGCCTCTTCTTTTTCAAAACCAAGTTTCCAAAGAATATGAGGGAGAAGCTAACCTAATCTCCACATATCTAATTAATAGAATATCCTCAATAGTGATTGATTTCAAAAGTCCCCCGAACTATCCTCCTAATTTCTCTCATAAATAATATTTCCTTAAAACTTCCTCCAAAGATTTTTGGCTATTTTTTTAAAACTTTCTCTAAGTCCCAAGTCCTAGATGAGAAAAATGGAGGGTTGTGTTAGGTAGTCGACAACCAACGTAAAAATTGTCGAATAATCATGACATAAATTATTTAATGCATTATGTTAATGCTAGAGCATTCATTGAAAGCGATGCACTGTATGGCTTGAATACAACGAGAAGTGTGCAAGGGTTGCTATATTGGCGCCCGAATGTAGTGTTAAATAGGCAAGGGTTCCAACATTATAGATAAATGTGGGCAAAGAAGCTAATCCATGAATTTACAATTATGATAGCAACTTAAAATATAAAATTCTCTTACAGAAAAATTAATGAAATTAATAGATATTATGATTCATATGAAGATAAATATCCTACGCATTCAAAAACTAAATGTATTGAAAAGAAGGCTAAGATAATTATGGACATGCATATTTGATTGGGAGAGAATTAGAAAGTTTCCTAATCAAGAGGAAACTTTTAGGAAGATTATTAATCAAATGGAATTCTTTAAGAAAATTTTAATTATAATTGGGAGAGAATTATTTAGAGCAAGAGATTAAATTTGAATTCAAATATGAGAGCGAATTATTTAGGAAAAGGGGGCTGATTTGAGAGGGAATTATGGGAGCCTATTAAAGACTAACAATAAGGTGATTTTACATAATGTTTTGGGAGTATGCTGAATTTAGTTTAATATTAGGCCATTTGGGCTTTAGCGAGCGGTTAGGGATTTGGGAGGGTCGGATTTTCCTTTCATAGATCTAATTGTATATTGCATTTCTCTTTATGGTTCATTCAATGAAAATTATTTTGGCATATTCTTCTCAATTTTTTGAGTTTAATCCGCTAATTTTTAGGAAAAGTCCATCCACTTCCTATCAAATTGGTATCAGTGCCTAGATTTGTATACCTATGTCATGAAGAAGGGTAGAAGTGTTGGACAGGGAGATCGGACAATTAAAATCTAATTTTGTAGAAAAGATTTCAGATTTCGAAAAATAATTTTTAGCCATCTATGAGAAGATTGATGAGAAATTTTCCATCATGGAAGAGACGATGAAGAAGCTGCTCGAGGGTCAAACCAAACCGATAATATCGGAGGCGAAAGCACCGCTGACCGAACAAGGAAATGGGAGAAACTATAATATAAGAGAAGAAGAGGAGATGCCACTTTGGAACGAGTTCTAAGGAGGGAAAAGAGTAAATACAACAACAACATCAAGCCTTTGTCCCACTATGTGGGGTCGGCTACATGAATCATTTTTCACTATCGTGTCTTGTTAAAAATCAAATTCTCATTTAAATCTAATAAAAAAAGATCATTTCTAATATTTTATAACTAAGTCTTTTTAGATCTATCTCTACCTTTCTTAACATAAATCAAATCTAACACCTCAACTTTCCTAACCGGGTTATCGGAAGGCATCCATTTAATGTGACCAAACCATCTAAGGTGACTCTCTCTAATCTTATCTTCTACTGGAGCTACTGAACTTTATCACGTATATGCTCATTTCATATCCTATCTAAAAGGGTAAAGCTACTCATCCACCTAAGCATCCTCTTCTCTGCAACACTTAACTTAATATTATGCTTCTCTTTTAATGGCCAACATTCGACACCATAAAGCATTGTAGGTCTCACCACCATCTAATAGAATTTCCCTTAAGTTTGAGGGTGGCTTTTCTATCGCACAACAAGCCCGATGCATTCCTCCACTTCAACCATCCAACTTGAATTCTACTGATAATATCCCCATCTATTTCACCATCACTCTGAACAATAGATCCAAGATATCTAAAACGTGTACTCTTATTAATGACTTGATCGCCCAAAGTCACAATCACCTCACCAGGTTTATTGCTACTAAAATTACACTCCATATATTCAGTTTTAGATCTACTCAAGCAAAAACCTTTAGACCTAAGGTTGACCTCCACAATTCAAGTTTACCTTCAACTCACTCTCTAGTCATATCAACAAGAAGAATATCATCAGCAAAAAGCATACACCAAGGTATATTCTCTTGCAAATGTCTAGTGAGAACATCCACGACTAAAGCAAAAAAGATATGGACTTAAGGCTGATGCTTGATGTAATCCAACCGAAATAGGAAAATAGTTGGTCAAACCACCTTGTGTTTGAACACAAGTACTAGCTCCTGCATAAATATCTTTAATGATTTGAATATAAGTGTTATTAATTTTTTTTCTTTTCAAGAACTCTCCATAGCAGCTCTCTTGAAACTTTATCATATGTTTTCTCTAAATAAATAAATATCATATATAGATCCTCCTTATTCTCTCTATATTTCTCCATCAAACCTCTCAATAAATGTATGGCTTCCATAGTAGACCTACCCAGCATGAATCCAAATTGATTTTGAGAAACACCGATAAAAATAAAAATCTTTATTTTCATTTAGGGTGCTAAAGTCACTAAAGTCAATCGTATTTTCACATTTTTTTCATTAAAAAGTTTAGCAAAAATTTTCATCCACCTTTGTTGAATATCATCCTTTAAGAAAAATACTTTTAATCTTCATCCTTAATATACTTCACTTGTACTAAATCCTTACTACTTTTATCTCTTTGTTTGATTTTCTTATGCATAAATCATTAAAAGTTAAACGCTTTGCATTGCAAATAAATTTCTTAAATTCCTTACAAGCCTCTTTATAACTTTCCCAATTATTAGAATTTTTACATCTAAACTAATTTTTATAACAAATCTTCTTATTTTTTATCTTTTATTGCACATTTGGATTCCGCCACAAACTATTTTTACTATTAGGAGCTTTTACCTTCGAAACTCCAAGCATATCTTTTGCATCTTAATATCACTAACCACTTTATCCCACATGAAAAGGGTAAATGAGCGGGATTTTTGGTGGAGCTACAGAATTTGGAAGGAAAAAAATGGAGAAAAGATAGAAGCACCAAACATGGTTCATCCACTTTTACAACAGTATCAAGAAGTGTTCCAACTAGTTCAAATGTTGCCTCCTCCGTGGGAACATGAGTATGCTATCATTTAGAATGAAGTAGTCTCATATATCAGTGTTCGTCCACACCATTCTTCCCAACCTAGAAGGGTGAGATCGAGAGATTGATCAGGGGGATGCTGGAGTCAGGGATCATTTCACCTCGTGATAGTCCATTTTTCAATCCAATGCTTTAACAACAGTTTCTTTCGTTACATCTTGAGGAGAAGGTGGCACTTTGGGAGGAGAGTATTAATGGACGGGCCGATTCGATTGAAGTGAATTAGACAATTTTTGAATAAAGAGGAAAGTTTTTAGGAAGATTCTTAATCAAAGGAAAATTGTTTAGGAAATTTTTAATTATAATAAAGAGGGAATTATATAGGGTAAGAGATCTAATTTAAATTCAAATATGAAAGAGAACTATTTAGGAAAAGAGGATTGATTTTACTGGAATTAATTTTGTTTAGGTTGAGTGGGCTCTAGT